TTTAGTCATGCTTTGTCTCCTCCACAGGTAAACGTGCATGCGTGGGAGAGCAGCTGGCAAGAATTGAGATCTTCATCTTTCTGACCAGCCTGTTGAGGGCCTTCAACTTCCGGTTGCCTGAAGGAGTGAAAGAACTCAACGAAGCCCCTGTCGCAAAGATGATAATGCACCCACACCCTTACAAACTGTGTGCAATTCCCACATAGGTTTAATCTTTAAAAAACAGCACAAAAAGCATAAAACTGTTTCCTATAGGACTGTTCTCTTAATTTGAACTTTTGCCTACATTTATTGTACTTTAAAACTTTTTCAGCCTAGTGCTGGATTCACAAACATACTTCACCAGTTCAACCAGTGGTGTGTGAACAATATGCTAAGTAAATTTGCTTTGTTTTACCTTAGTTTTCTTTTGGGTGCCAATAAATCTATTCCTCTCCATTTAGTCCCAGAATCTTTCTTTTGGCACAGCCTTATTAAGGCTGTTACTATTATGGATTAAGGAATGAGAGACCAAACCAGAGCATTCACAAGTAAAGGCTTTATTCAACGGAATAAAGGGCTGTCGCGTCTGCATACTAACAAGCAGACATGCTCAGCGAACAGCGGCTGGCTCGACCTAGCAGCCGGCTTTTATAGCCGGCTGTCGAAGGGAGCCAGCCAATGGGAGCTGTAAACGCCCCCGCAGTATAGACGGACTTGGTTGGGAACTTTGGTCAGTTCCAAGGACATAACACCCCTTCCCCCCAGATGCGAACATGAATAGTCTTTTAAATATGCAGGTGGTCTGTGTGAGCGCCCGGACCGGCGCAGTTCAGGTGAGTCACTGAGCGGATCAGAGTTCACGGGATCAGGATTGGTGGGTGCTGGAGAGTGGGGTTGCTCTGGGACCTGATCAGGTGTCTGTGAATAGTCTCTACCACCGGGTTGGCTTGTAGTATAGTCATTGTCCAACAACCCGGTGGCATCGCTGGTCGGCAAGGCTGGCGTCTCTGGCGGACGGTCCCGGTCTACCGTCCGTTCCCCTCGCTCGGCCGGTGGTGACAGGCCCCTCAGATGGTCCCCGATCGGATTCTGGTGTGGCGACTGGAGATCAACAGGAGTCCATGGTTCAGCATTGGCATGACCACTCTGGCGCTTCCTTATCTGATCCAGATGTCTCCGCCAAACTCGCCCGTCCTCCAGTTGCACTTGGTACGATCTCGGACCGGTGATGGCCACGACTCTCCCGGGTACCCATAGCGGATCGCCGGCGTAGTTCCTGACAAACACTGGGTCCTGCAACACAAAATCTCTGACCCTGCTGTCAGACCCGATAGGAGTGTCAGGGCAATAATGGGGATGCAGCCTGTCTAACACCGTTCTCAGACGTCTGCCCATTAGGAGCTCGGCAGGAGACTTGTTTGTAACCGTACAGGGGGTCGTGTGTTGGCTCAAGAGAAAACGGGAGAGCTTAGAGTGCCAGTCCTCTTGATTGAATCTGGCCAACGCCTCCTTTGTTGACCTAACGGCTCTCTCTGCCAACCCGTTGCTGGCAGGATGAAAGGGGGCCGTTAAGATGTGCCAGATGCCCAGGTTGGTGACATACCGGCTGAATTCTGTAGATGTAAATTGTGGGCCATTGTCCGAGACTAGAGTGTCAGGCAGCCCGTGTGTTACAAATAGACGGGTCAGGGCTTGGGCAACTGCCCAGGTGGTGGTCGTGGGTAGTAGGGCCACATCGATCCACTTGGAATACGAATCCACGACCACCAAGAAGGTCTTGCCATGCATTGGCCCGGCCAAGTCAATGTGCAGCCGTGACCACGGTGCATTGGCACTCTCCCACTTGGTTGGGGTGGTGATTGGTGGTGCTGGCCTGGATTCCTGACAGGGTTGGCAAGAGCTTACCCATTTGGCGATCTCGTCGTCCATGCCCGGCCACCAGACGTAACTTCGAGCCAACGCCTTCATCCGGACGATGCCTGGGTGACCCTCGTGCAGCGCCTTCAGGACAGGTGTGCGCAGGGAGCTTGGAATGACGACTCTGGTTCCCCACAACAGGCAGACCTGTAAACTGGAAAGCTCTTGCTGGCGGGTTTTAAATGGTGTGAATTCAGTTGTGAAATTAGTGACCGGCCACCCCCTCCGTACCCAGTCCAGAACCTGGGCGATTGTTTTGTCTTTTTTGGAGTGAAAGGCGATGTCGCCTGAGGTGACAGGTAGGTTGAGCTCGCTGACATCGAAGATGGCATGGACCGGAGCAGGGTCCTCTACAGGGGTTGGCAGCGGGCAGCGGCTGAGGGCGTCGGCGTGGCTTAGGGTTTTTTCCCGGCCGGTGAACGAGTTTGTACGAGTAGGCCGCCAGGAATAAGGTCCACCTTGTCATCCTGGGTGACAAGACTTGGGGTGTTTGTTTGTCCCCTGACAATAGCCCCAGAAGCGGCTTGTGGTCTGTGATGAGTTCGAATTTGTGACCAAAAAGAAATTCATGGAATTTTTTTACCGCAGCCACTGCGGCTAGGACCTCTTTATCAATTTGGCTATAATTATGCTCGGTTGGTGAAAAGGTTCTGGAAAAGAAAGCGATTGGTGCCTCGGAGCCGTTGGGGAGTCTGTGGCTTAAGACAGCCCCGATCCCGAAGGGGGATGCGTCTGCTGCTAAGACTAAAGGGAGGCGCTGGTCGAATTGGATTAGGACAGCGTCTGAGGTGAGCAGCGATTTGACTGCTTTAAAAGCATACTCCTCTTTGGGTCCCCAATGCCACGGTGCGTTTTTGTCTAGAAGTCTGTGTAACGGTTCGGCTACTGACGCTTTGTGGGGTAGGAACGAAGCGTAGAAATTTAATAAGCCTAGGAAAGCATGTAATTCAGACTTTGTGGAAGGCGTGGGTGCCTCGTGAATTGCTTTAACTTTAGATTCTACCGGGTGGATGCCAGAGGCGTCTATTCTATACCCAAGAAAGTCCACCTGTTTAGTGGCGATGGCACACTTCTCCCTTTTTAGCTTGAGGCCATGCTGTCTGAACTTGTCTAAAACCGCTCTGACTCTTTGGAAGAGTTGGGGCCTGTCCCTGGCTGAGACCAATATGTCATCAAAATAAGGAACCACGCCAGGGAGGCCTTGGAGTATTCATTCCATTAATGACTGAAAAATGCCTGGGGCAACACTAACACCAAACTGGAGACGCCTGCACCTGAACGCCCCTCTGTGAGTGACAATAGTTTGTAAATCGGCGGTTTGACTGTCAACAGGAAACTGCTGATAAGCCTGTGACATATCCAATTTGGCGAAAATGGTGCCAGGCTCAAATGTGTGGAGTAAGTGCTGGATTACCGGGACTGGGTAAGCGCTAACCTGTAGGTAGCGGTTAATTGTGGTCTTATAATCAGAACAAATTCTTAAACTGCCATCCTTCTTAAGGGGTGTGACAATTGGGGTTTCCCATTTAGCAAAATCCGTGGGCTCAATCACCCCGTTTGAGTAATTTGTCCAGTTCCGCGTCCAGTTTAGGGCGTAGCGCAAATGGTACTCTACGCGGTTTTAAACGGACGGGAACTGCTTGGGGGTCCACTGAAAAAGAAATGGGTGTGCCATTGTAACACCCTAATTCGTTGCTGAACACATCAGCGTAGTCTGCAAATAGGGAGTCAATGTCTGAAGTTGAGACAGCATGGACTCCCGTTAAGCTAAGACCGAGATAGGTGAACCAATCCAACCCCAACAAGCTAGGGAGGGCACCGTCAACAACCACTAAAGGCAGATGGCCTTTAAAGGATTTGAATTTAACGAGGAACTTGCCTTTTCCGAGTACTGGAATATTCTTCCCTTGATAGTCCCTCAAGGTGAGGCGGCTCTTCTGGAGTTGGCTCCTAGACAGGCTGGGCCGGATTTTCTTAAGAGTGTTCCACGAGATGATCGAGAGCGCTGACCCGGTATCGACCTCCATGAGACAAGGTTTACCTTCTAAATGAATAGAAAGTGTGATTTTATTAAGAGTCAGAAAAGTGTGATTAGCTTGGTAGCAAGTATAACAGTTCTCTACTTGCCTTGGTGGCTCCGGAGGAGAGTAAGAGGACGCTGACCTTTGCGATGCCACGTGTGCTGCCTGGCAGGCTTGGGCGATGTGACCTTTTTTGTTGCAGTTGTTGCAGGTAGCGTTTCTGAACCTGCACGCCGTCCGGGCATGGGGACCCCCGCAGGACAGGCATAACAGGATGTGCTTTGGTGCATTGCTGTTCCCGTGCCTTGCCCCTACCTGTGATCGCCTCAAGGGTTTGAGACGATGAACTTTCGACTGTTCAATGGGGTCTTCTTCACTCACCGCTTCCTCAGAGTGAACAGTGGCAGAGCTGGGCTTGGGGGTGGTCCCTTGGATTTCAGCGGCTGACTGGGTCACTAGTTCTGCGGCTAAGGCTTCTTCAACCGCTTGGGAGAGGTTGAGGTCTTTTCTGGCCAGCAAACGCCTCTGTAGTTTTAAGTCTTTGACTCCACATACGAGTTGATCGAGTAACATGTCGCCCAGGTAATTTTTGAACTCGCAGTGGAGAGCTGCTGTCCTCAGGGCGGCCACGTATTGATTTATGGATTCCCCATCTGCTTGCTTCCTCATCCGGAAGGCAAAATGCCTCGCGATCTGCGAAGGTTTAGGGGAGTAATGATTTGAAAGTGTTTCCAGCAGCTCTGGCCATGGAACGCTCTTGGTTTCTCGTGGAGCAAGGAGGGCTGTTGCGGTATCGAAGACTGCAGCTCCGCAGTAGCTGAGGAAATATGACTTTATTCGGTGTTCCGCTGCGTCAGCCAGACCGATGGCATCAATATAGTGATTGAACCGGTTTCTATAAGAGTCCCACTTCTCTTCATCCGGTTTAAAAGGCGGAAATTCTGGGTTAGCGTTCATATTGGCGCCTAGTCAAGGGTAGACTGCCCTCTCTCTCTGGGTATACGAAGGCCCAATACGTGCTCACGTGAGCGCAGGCGGCTGTGGCTGCAGCGGTTCACCTGGCTCAATGACTTCAGCTCTGTGCTAGTGAGCGTTAGAGGCTCTTGCTGTAACGCTGTGACTATCAGCAATCATTTGAATCTCGCGCTCCCAGAAAGCGTTGGCGGATGTGTTGACAGAGATTCAAATTTCGCGCTCTCTGGGCGCGTAGGCGGCTGCGGACACAGCGCCGGGCTTCACTTGCGTTTCAAATTCAAACGACAGCAGTTTGAATTCCGCGCTCTTTTTCCTGAGCGGGGCGGCTGTAGCTTCAGCGCCTGACTTCACTCTCTCTCGCTGTAGCTTTCTATGCGAGCGGCTACAGACGCTTCACTTTCACTTAGCTAACTAGCGAACTGACCGAGCTCTCTGCTTCGCGGCTGCGGTTCAGTTGCCTATCGTGATTTC